CTCAACATTGCTTTCCCATACTTCTGATTTTCTGCTCTTATTTCCCTATAGGTAGAGTTATATACTAAGTGACCATATCACAGATACGGTCTTTACATTCTACTGTACAGAGAATTTCTACATTTCTCACACCTTTCTACAACTTAGAGGAATTAACACCAGTCTCAATCCTTTCCTTCTTTTAAGAGGACGAGATATCCATTAACTTATACCAGACTAAGATAATCTTAATTTATTTCTCTTGTAAGTTCAATCTCTCCCTTGCAATAGACCACCCCCTAAATTTCTCTTATTATAACAATATATGGAACCCTCCATTTCCCTTTGTCCTCCTTCAGCTGCTGTCTACTTGCCTGTCTTTTCTCCACAAAACCCTTGAAAAGAACTTGTGAAGTCAGATTCTTTATATCTGACTTCTTGTGTTCTGCCACCTGGCCCTGACTATTAACAAATTTACTGGGAGATTTTCAGTCTTCATGTTACATGACATTTTTATAGCATTTTATTCTGTGAACTCTGCCCTTTATTTTGACTTCTGAAATTTCACTCTCTTCCATTCTTCAGCTACATCTTATTATTTTCCATGAAGAATCTCTCTTTGACCCATACATCTTAATGCTGACATCTGTTGAGTTCCATCCTCATCACTTGTCTTGCTCATTATGCTCTTCTTGAGCTATTTGATACAGACATACTTGCTCTTCAGCTCAGATCACTTCTCTCTGACCCAGATCTACATACCCAGTTGCTAACTGAAGATATTTACTTGAATGTTCTGTATTAGATTTTCAATATGAACCAAACATATCTAGGCATAATCCGGACCTCTTCCTTTTATTCTCTATTTCCTATCTGATGCTCCAAGCTCTACCTTCTTTCATCTTTACCACGGCCTTACTTTAGCCCCTAATATTTCTAATCTTTTAACTGATTTTTAAAAATTTATTCTCATTGCCCCCAATCCACTCTATGCTGCTTTCTAGAGAGATATTTCCGATTTAATTATTTCACTCTCCTATTTAAAATCCTTCAGTGGCTACTCATGAAAGTGATAATCAAGGCCCTTCACCCTCTGTTCTCTGTCTGACTGGAGAATGTCGTCTCTCACCACTTCCACATTTGCAACCTGTTTCATCTGTACCATCTTGCTTACAAATCCAGGATGCACCATACTTGCTCATGGCTGCATGTTTTTGTACTTTTTACCTTTGCCTAAAATACTCTTCCCACCTACCCATCCTCCTCTAATCTAACTCTTCTACCTAACACCTATATTTCTTTTAAGACACAGGCCAGTTATCATTGCCCTAGGCTGGGTTAATTGCTCCTCTTTGATATGGTCATACCATTCAACCTGTCATAGCATACATTGCACTGTAATATCTCTTTCCTTTTTTGTTTCCTAAAATAGATTTTGAGTTCTGTAATAGAAGGGAATACATCTTTTATCTTTGTAGTAACAGCACATAGCAGCAGTGCCTGATACAAAATAGGTGCTCAATACATGAATAAATGGAAAACTATTGGTTTGTAATGATCCCAAGTAATAGTCTAAAGATGTGCTGGAAATATTTGGAAGGCTTATCTCAAAGATGACTTGGTAAACTGGTCATTATTAACCAGAATCAATCTGGTTGCAGCCCCTTATGCTAGCTCCAGAGTGCAGATTTCAATAGAAGAGGGCCTATATGGGCAGATAATTTTGCACAGGCCTATAATTGCCTATTGCTATTTTGGAAACCTCATCACAACCACTGTTACTTGTGTTCAGCAAGGACAAGCAATTAATGCCTGAATAAAAATCTTGGTTCATGAAGTCAATAGGTACACCACAAATCTCAAATACTAAAATGCAGTATTTTAGGATACATTTGTAGCTGATACTTTAATGTTCTGACAATGTGTAAATATATGGAATCAGTAATTTATGAACTCATAAAAATATTCAATTTCAACTTTTGTAGAATTTATTGACTTAACAGTGCTAATAAAAATAAGCTGCACAAGACTCAGTGCTGTGCTGGTCAGACTCAGGTCTGACCCACCACAGCTCCAGTGATGATGGCCACAGAGGTACTTGGGTCACCCCTCCACCAGCTCTAGGCAGCTTAGCACACAGAGAGAGACTCCATTGTTTGGGGGAAAAGCAATTATTTCTGCCAGCACTTGTGCTTTAAATGCATCATCTCAGTGAGCACAAAACCCCTCAAAGTAACACTATCATTGTTCTCAGCTTAAAGATAAGAAAGGCAAGATGGTTGAATAGACTCCTCCACTGATGGTGCCCCCACAGATACACCAAATTTAACAACTATCTCTGTGAAAAAAGCATCTTCATAAAAAGGTGAGCATTCAGAGTACCTGGTTTTGAATTTATATTGCTGAAAGAGTCACTTAAGAGAGTAGAAAAAACAGTCTTGAATTGCTGAAGCCATGCCTCCTTCACCCCTGTGGTGGACATGTAGTACAGAGGTAGAATGTGTATGCTTGGGGGAGAGAGAACACAGTGACTGTGGGATTTTGCATTGAAACTCAGTGCTGCCAATACTGGACATAACTCAGCTGATGCCCATAGAGGGAACATTTAGACCAGCCCTAGCCAGAGGGTAATCACCCATCTCAGCAGTCAGAACTTGAGTTTTGGTAAGCCTTGCCTCTGTGGGCTAAAATGTTCTGAGGCTCTAAACAAACTTGAAAGGCAGTGTAGGCCATAAAGACTGCAAGTCCTAGAGAAGTCCCAGTGCCATGCTGTGCTCAGAGTCAGTGGACTGGGGGACACATGATCTGTTGAGACACCAGCCAAAGCAGCTAAGGGAGAGCTTGCATCATTTCTTCCCCAACCCCAGGCAGCACAGCTTCAAGCTCCAAAAGAGACTCCTTACTTCCACTTTAGGACAAGAGAAGGAAGACTAAAGAGGGTTTTGTCTTGCAACTTGGATACTGGCTCACCCACAGTAGGACAGGGCACCTGGCAGAGTCATGAGGCCCCCATTCTAGGCCCTAGATCTTGGATGACATTTCTAGACACACTTTGGGTCAGAAGGGAATCTCCTGCCTTGAACAGAAGGATCCAGTCCTGACAGGTTTAATCACCTGCTAACTAAACAGCCCTTGGGCCCCGAATAATCAGCAACAGTAGCCAGGTAGTACATGCCATGGGTCTTGGGTGAAACTCTAAGATATTCTGGCTTCACATGTGACCTAACATGTTCCAGCTGTTTTGGCCACGAGGGAAGACTTCTTCTGCTTAAGGAAAACACAGGAAAGAGTATTGGGGACTTTGTCTTTGTCTTACAGCTTAGGTACCAGCTCAGCTACAAAGGGGTAGAGCACCCAGCAGGCACTTTGGGGTTCCTGATTTTAGGCCTTGGCATTTGGATGGCATTTATGGACCTGCCTTGGGCTAGAATGGAGTTCACTACCCTGTAGGGTGAGTCCAAAGCCTGGCAGCATTTACTACAAGCTGACTAAAGAGCCCTTGGGCTTAAGTGAACATCAGCTGTACCCTGGCAGTACTCCCTATGGACCTGTGGTGGTGAGGCCCATGGAGAAAGACTCCTCTGCCTGTGGAAAGGGAAGGGAAGAGTGGGAAGGACTGTGTCTTGTGGTTTAAGTGCCAGCTCAGGTGTAGTAGAATAGAGAAACAAGTATATTTCTAAGGTTTCTGACTATAGGTACTGGTTCCCAGTTGGCATCTCTGGAACCACCCAGGGCCCAGGGGGAACTCATTACTCTTAAGGGAACAACACAAGCCTGGCTGGCTTTATCACCTGCTTATTGCAGAGCCCTAGGGCCTTAAGCAAACATAGGTAGAAGCCAAGTAGTAATTAAAGTGGGCCTTGCATAAGACTCAGTGCAGTGCTGGCTTCAGGTCTGACCCACCACAGCTCCGGTTATGGTGGCCATATGCATGCTTGAGTTACCCCTCCACCAGCTACAGGCAGCTCAGCACATAGAGAGAGACTCCACTGTTTGGCGGAAAAAAAAGGGGAGGCAAACAAGAATCTCTGCTTGGTAATCTGGAGAATTCTTCTGAATTTTATCCGAGACCACCAAGGTGGTACCTCTTTATGTCTGCAAGAACCACAGCATTACTGAGCTTGGGTAATTATTTAGTTTCATTAATAATTCAATTGGGTTTCATTAAATTCAATGAAAATATGGCTGCAGTGAGCAATAACATAGATAGCAACAGCCAAGTTCCTTAAAATACCTGGAAAGCCTGCCCAAGAACCATAAGTTCAAACAAGCCCGGACTGCAAAACTATAATAAATACATAATTCTTCAATGGCAACACCAACAAAGCCTCAAGACTATCCAGGAAAACATGACTTTACCAAATAAACTAAATAAGGCTTCAGGGACCAATGCCAAAGTGACAGAGATATGTGACTTTTCAGATGGAGAATTCAAAATAGCTATGTTGAAGAAATTCAAAGAAATTCAGGATAACACAAGAAAGGAACTCAGAATCCTTTCAGACAAATTTAACAAAGAAATTGATATAACTGAAAAGAATCAAACAGAAATTCTTGAGTTGAAAAATGCAATTGACATACTGAAGCCTGCATCAGAGTCTATTAATAGCAGAATTGATCAAGCAAAGGAAAGCAT